GTTTATTTTACAACCTAGGGTGTTAAATTGAAATGGGTAAGTTGATAGAATTATATATCACTTACCAATTATTGTGAAATTGATAGAAATGGGTATAGAAATGGTTTAGAGTAAATTCCTAGCTTGGAATTGAAATATGGTAATTACTTGTGAAATTTCATGGAAATTGGTATTTATGGGCATGCTATATGTTTAAATTATGACTTGGTGAATGAAGTGTGTTATTGACATATATTATGTGATAACATGCTTATGAATGGTTGTTAGATATGAAATGTTGATATATTTTTATTGATATATTAACATTGTGATGAAGTTTGGTGATTATATGCATATGATATAATTAGCCATGGAACATGTATATATGTGGTTAAATTTGTTCATATGACATTCATACATATGGGGCATGACATTGATATTGCAATGGTGTATTACATTGCATTTGCACGGAAGCATCACAACCATGGGCATGAGACATGGGTGTGGGTATGAGTGTGTGCATGATTTAATTAAACACCATACTTGGTGGTTGATGGGTGGGCTCGGGAAAGTTAGATTAAAAATTCGATTAAGTCGCACGGTTGCATGAAAAACTTGTGTAGGGTATAGCATGTAGAGCTAGATTCTCCCTCAATTGCAAGACCCGGTTACCTGGTTCAAACACTCCCCTGAGGTGAAATTTTAAAAAAGTATCATGGTGCGCGAAACTGGCATTGTGACTCCGAGAACTCCGCTACCCAACAAAGACACAAGGATTTTGTTTTATAAAATACCTAGTTCGTACACTCCCATGAGGTGCAATTCTGAAAAAATGTACTTGTTATACAAAATGGTCATTCGATGTGTAACATCCAACAATGACTTGGTTTTATAACCACACATCTTTATTTCAAAATAATCATTGGATGTAATTCATCAATGGCAGATTTTTCCATACATTGACATTGCATTGTTTGGTGCAAGCCGGTGAAGACTCGGGTTCAGGTGCATGAGTGAGTCTCATCTCATTTCATGGCATGACATGATATAAAATTCAACATTGAATTGCATATTCTTGTTTGGAATGATTGTTTCCGTGTTGAATGTTATATGTGCGCATTTCATATGCATCTAGGTTGGGGGAGTAGCCTTTGTAGAAAATATTCTATTGGGCGTGGCTCACCCTATACGGGATAAAATTTCAGGCGCGGGGTTCACGCCGGTGGAGGACTTTCATTTCGAGCCTCAAGGATGAAAGGGGGCGACTTGTGGCTTTTATAGCACATTTTGTGTAATTTTTGTGAAAATTATATTTTGGCATTTAAATTCATGTAAATTAATGTAATCGAAATGGTATGGACCTTGTGTTATAAGAAAAATCTTCATTAAACATGGGTTGGATGGAAATAATAGGTTTTGAAATAAATTGGAAATGAAAAACAGGTGAAACAGGCAAAATTGGACAAAACCTACCGGTACAGCCTACCAATACAATTTTGTTCAGCAGGCAAAACCCTACCGGTTGAAATTTTCCAATACACAAACCCTATTGGTGCAACTTTGTCCAATAAGCTCACCCTACCAATAGGAATTTTTCCAGTAAGCTCACCCTACCGATAGAATTTTTGAAAATTTGAAATTTTAAAACTGTTTTGTCATGCTTTTGAGTCATGTGTCCTTCCTTCCAAATGATGTAAATGGACTACAATGGAGTATAAAATGTGGTACATTAGACCACATTTTGATTAAATGATCAAATGTACACGGTTTACACGTGTGGGTTATAATTCCGGTTTAGGGAATGCTATTGACATAATATTGGGTTGTGCGACAATCACGTGTACTTTCACGGGTTAACGAATGGTCAACGGTTGAAAAAAGACCCCCGGTTTTTGGGGCGTCACGAGGGATGTCAACTGACAAGTTGGGATAACTTTGCTATCATAAATTTAAGGGTAAATAAGCCTAAGTATAAAACCATTCCTCGACTTTTTAAAAATTTCACTAACACCACTTGTCAGCGTTTATTCCCTTACGAGAGTAACGAAATTGATGATTTTACTTTAATGCCCTTACCAAATTCATATATTTACCAATATAACATAGCATATATTAAATTTAGTTATTTACCCTTGATTGAGTTAAATTTATTTCAAATTTCGACTTGATCTTAATCAATTGCATTAACTAAATTAAATTTATTTTTAAATTGAAGTGAAGTGTAATTTAATATTATAATTTATTACTTATCTAAACAATAGTCATTTTATTTTAATAGTTAATCTAATTAATTTCACCACTACAATTACATCTAATGTCATCACCACCAAAGTCGTGTCTCCGCCACATCTCCACTCTCCCTCTCCTTCACACACAAAATTATGGGCACCAGTACCTGTAACTGGCAAACAGACATACCAAACAAATTGATTGTCAAAATAACAACTTCCAACTCACCCCTACCGAAAAAAAAAAAATCTAAACTATCGCCATGTCTTTATTTTCCAACCCAGATCATTATAACATGTACAATCTAACCACAAACTGATTTGATAAAACTGAACATTAATTTGATGTTAATTTAATAAAATTTAACATTAAATTGAAAAAATTAAAGGTAAACTTTATGTCAATTTGATAAAATTGAATTTTAAAAAGATACAATTTAAGTTAATCTAGTCTTAATTTGATGGATTGAATTTCAAGTTGATAGAATTAAATGTGAAATTGATTGTTAATTTTATGGATTAGATTGATAAAATAGAATTAAATATTAATTAGGTGCTAATTTATTAAAATTATAAAATTAAATGTTAATTTGAGAAAATTAAATGTCAATTTGGTATTAATTTAATAAAATTAATTTTAAGTTGATGAAATAGAAAGTCAATTTGATGTTAATTAGATGATATTAAATTTTAAATTGATAAAATGAAATAAGAGAGAGATAACAGATAAAATGAGGAGTAAGAGAGGGTAAAATTGATTTTTAAAAATAATTAATGATGACACCATCATTTTTTAGTGTGTCCGTAACGACTGTTCATGACATGGGGTATGAATGAAATGACATATTAACTACAAGGTAGTACAATAATATTTTAGAAAAAAATAGGGGGCGTCATTGTATTTAAGTCTATTTATAAGGAGTATTGATGAAATTTATTGTAAATTTAATGAACGGCCCTTTTTGTGACCGCTACAAATTGGTCTCCTAAGTTCATAGTGGAGGGCCCTTTTGTATAGTATGACATATAGTAGTTGGTTGTTCTTAATGTCTAAGTAATTAGCTAGGGACACCTCCGTCAACATTATAGTTACATGTTTACACCAAAATTTAATGAAGGAAAAGAAGATATTTTTTAGGTTGTTCTTCTATTTCTCTCTCTAGAAATTTTTGTGTATTTAACACACCACATAACAAAGTCAAATGATATACACAACCAATCAAAAGTAGTATATTTTCAACAAAGACCGTCATTCATTAATATACTTAACAATTTTTTATTGACTATACACGCTATTTGACACTGCTAAACCCATACAATATTTTACTCTCTCTCTCACTCTCAGAAGTAATTATACAAATGGCAGATCTGTTTCTCAATTGCAAAACTGACATGCAAGTGATTGCACCCATTGCAGCATATACATACACATAATAGGGATGCAGCTGATGTAAGAGTTCTTCCGTTATATTCTAACCTTATGAGAATAATTGCCTTCTCATTGTTTAAGATGAATTCATTAGTGTAGAGAGATATTATTAGTAGTAAAGTTATTCCATGGAGATGTAAAGCCAATCAAATTCTTACACTCACATGCGTGTACATAGAGAAAGAGAGCTAATATGTTATGCATGGATACCAGTACCCATAGTTCCTACCTGACATATTGTTGTTTTTTCACAATGAGATTATCAACATAATCAGTTTGCAATTGAGACTCAAAATTACAATACTCCTTAGGCTTGGAACCATAATATACGAGGTAAGATGAAAATACTAAATCTATATATTTTGTTTCATGGTGTTTGATAAACGTGTAAAATACTTTATAGATGTAATTCTAGACATTCATTGAATAACATATGTTGCAAGACAAAATTGTCCATGTAATCTATTCACCCCCTTGTGCACCTCAAAATGGACAACATTGTATAACGAGGATCTATGTCATTACAAATTGAGTAACTTTTCAAGTTGCTTCAACAAGTATCATATAACATTCATTGGAAGGAAAAGAGGAGAGAAAAAATGATGTACATAAAGTTCACAAAGTCACAACCCAAAGTTCAAATATTGACTATACATGTAGGATATCATTTTTGACTATGACAGCTATTGACAAGTACATCACTATATATTGCAAGACATATAAATCTCACTCAGAACAGCATGACAGCCATCGCCAAAACCTTATATGGGGAAGATGGCAGTAGTCTCTATATACCTGATGGCAAGAACTAGTCGGCCTTCGAGCCCTTGCTAATTCTCTGCAAATCTAAATTTGAATACAATACAAATCAATTACCAAATGATGACAATAATTCAAAAACTATAAATTAAATAATCAAGGAAAAAGAAAATAACTCACTCGAGCTCTGAGAGCTTCAAATGAGCTTTGGCATAGTCTGCGAAAAAGGAATCCTCATCCTATAGCAAAGTAATCATTCAGTCAAGAATCTTTTGTGTGCATATCAATGACAGGGATAGATAAAACTTCATGATTCAAAATGTTTTACATATTGCAGCATATTTGTCAACCAGAGGGCAGAATACTGGATCCTCCATAAGAGCTTTGTCTGATGGAAGCTGGATAAGACCTTCCTTGTCTCCACTTAGGAGGTCCCTATCCAAATAAATCAGTAAATTGGTTGCTCCCTGTATATTTCACGAGCAATTCAAAGCAAAATTACCAAGTACAATTATGATAGTAGTTTATTGCAAATAGAAAGCGAAGCGAAGACAGTCATCATCAAGTTGGGTAAGCATATTCAGAAAGAGAAACCAGACTCACTTGAAGTAGGAATGATCAAAGATGAGAAGATTTGTAGTCCAAGGTCCCTCAAAACTAGAACGCTACATATGACACCGTCCCTGTTCAATCGTCCCCGGCAAACACGGAAAATTTGTCGACATTATGGCAAATAACATACTCTAACCATATCAATATTAATATTCCATTCAAGTTTTTTAAAAAAAATGCAGACGCACAGTTTCCTGAACCTACCAGAGTGTGGCCACCAGATAAAGCAACAATATCTTTATCACTGAGCCCCATGTGGCCAAAAATGTCCCTCAGATGGTTCGAACCTGAAAAAATAGCAAGATTGTTGAAACACTAAATGACTTATATAACCCTGATATTCATTGCTACTTCATCTNCCATATGACACCGTCCCTGTTCAATCGTCCCCGGCAAACACGAAAAATTTGTCGACATTATGGCAAATAACATACTCTAACCATATCAATATTAATATTCCATTGAAGTTTTTTAAAAAAAATGCAGACGCACAGTTTCCTGAACCTACCAGAGTGTGGCCACCAGATAATGCAACAATATCTTTATCATTGAGCCCCATGTGGCCAAAAATGTCCCTCAGATGGTTCGAACCTGAAAAAATAGCAAGATTGTTGAAACACTAAATGACTTATATAACCCTGATATTCATTGCTACTTCATCTAATTATAGTGAAAGAAAAAATGAAGTAACCTTTAGTGGCATTAGGTAAGCGACCTTCTGGAGGTGGTTCACTTTTGTCCTAAGACCAATGTACTCATTTTGGTTACTACAGTTATTAACAAGTCACGAACAAGTTAATTATGTTTACCAGACTTCAATGAACATGAATTGGTAAAATTTGAGTTGATTTCTAATGATTTCATACAATAATAATTCCAAATAAATTGACTGGCCTATTATCAATTGCTACTCTATAAGGCTTTGCCTAGAGGCATATACCATTCAACAACATAGACCAAGTAGCACAACCCTCAAAAATTTGCCAAGACTCAAACAATGCAAGTGCACAAAAAGTCCTTACTTAGCCCTAACTAGCCATCCAAATTTCCAACAGTGCTCCCTGAGTTCCTTGACCCACATTATAGGGAACATAAATATGGACTCTAGACGTATATACTCAATCACAACCATAATCTAATACAAGTATCAATAGAGACAGACCAGCCAAGCTTGACTACAGGCACATAGTTTTGGCTCTAGAAATCGAAACCAAATGGATAATATATCAGCCTATGGCCAACCGAATTTTGAACGAAACAAGCCAAATTAAGGATGTTCTTGTTCCTACTTGTCTTGCATTATAACATCTCTATCATTACAATAAGGCTATACAAATTTAGCAACAATTGAAAGAAATGAGACATAGTTTGTCTTCATATAGGGCACAAGTCTGAACTGGGTTTCTAATGTCCGTAAAATTGCAAATTGGCAAAACTCTAAATGAAGCTAAACTTAAACTGAGTTAGATCAACACAAAGAAAATTAGAACTCCGGAGTCAGAGCACTTATGGCACAAGCATGTTTTCCCATCATTTTTAGATGTTATGACTATGTTAAAAACTCTAAAATGGTTCATGAATTTGCAGAAGCAAGCACTTATATGTGCACATTAAATTGGAAGGCCGCATGAACTTTGTACATGCTTTTCAATTAATTCAGGAACACACTTGAAATTTTAATTCTTTTGTTTATCTAAGCAATTATTCATTCCATGCCAATCCAAAGTCTAAGCCTGACATAATTAGAGCAGCCTCTAGTTTATGGCCATATCATCAACTACATTCTTTTAATGTCACACTACATACTGATTTGTGTGTGCTCAAGCACACGTTGCAAAAGCATCCCCTGCACTTAATGGATGCTCAAAAGCACGTATTGTTTAAGGATTCCAATTTTTTTTACTAGCTTACTTATATTATAATTTATTTATTTTCAGTCAAATTTATGTAAAAACTAACCGGTCTTCCGGGGTGAAAGGAATCTCAAGGCCTCCTGTAACTTCAATAGCAACAATCCCAGCCAACTGCAAATGATCCAAACACATAAAAAGTTCAGTTGTTAGGTTCAACATGTAGAAAGATAGAAAAAATTTCACAATACAAACTAACATAAGCAAGATATAAATTTATTAAAAAGCCAAAAAAAAAAAAACACTCCCAGTTCAATGATTTAGCATACAAAAATTACCTGGTAGAAGTCTGCATAGGATAGGATTGGAAATAGCTCCTTTATGGGCTCCAATAGCCTCACAGCAATATCAAGTCCGTTGTTGGCTTCGTGAGCAAGCTCAACTTGGTGCTTCATCATCTCAAATGGTCCCCCTGTTTTGGTTTTTAAATCGTAAGTCCCAGCCGAGTGCCATCTGCAGCAATAGATAACACACAATAATCAAGTAATCGGGTGATTCTCTCCAATCAAAATAGTGAAAGCATCAACTCTAGTTACTCACCAACAACTAGTAACGAGAAACAAAGAGAGANTAATCAAGTAATCGGGTGATTCTCTCCAATCAAAATAGTGAAAGCATCAACTCTAGTTACTCACCAACAACTAGTAACGAGAAACAAAGAGAGAAAGAGAGAGAGAAGATGAGATCTCTCTAAAAACCACACTAATATCGTTTTTGAATCTGTTAATAATGCAATAAACAATAGATCATCAATTAATCCTTACACTGATTATCAATAATAGTTTTGCGATAGAAGCAACATATATAGACACAAATGCGTAAAGGAATCTATCAATATCCATATACACATACATGAGAGAGAAAATGAGAGAGACAAAGAGAGAACTTACGCTAATCGGAGCATCAATGGAGCACAATGCTTCTCAATGATGAATCCTCTGAGCTTCTTCTTGCATTTCTCATCTACCTTCTGGTAATCCTCACTTACTGTTGGATAGCACTTTTCCATAACTATCTATTACTTTTTCTAATCAATCTCAAACCAAACAAACCGTAAATCAGAATCAAACCACAAAAATATCATGAAAATCNTCTATTACTTTTTCTAATCAATCTCAAACCAAACAAACCGTAAATCAGAATCAAACCACAAAAATATCATGAAAATCACCAAAAAGAAGAAGAAGAAGAATAAGATCCAAACAACTAACAATTTTCATAAAAAAGCATTCATATACACTAATCACAGCATGTAGAGCATAGTTACAGACCTGTGGAGCAAAGCAGAAATGTAGAGCAAAATTCAATAAAGAGTGTGAAGTGATCAAAAGGTGAATGCTACATCGATTTATATGGATGGTGTAGAGAACGAGAACATTCTAGCATTTGATTTGGGCCGTCGGAGACCAGAAATCATTTTTCGGTATTGATCGTCAGCTTAACGGCTCGGATCATGCTTGTCTATCAAGATTGTGGCTGTTGGTGGTCATCTATCAGATCATAATGGAGTGACTTGCCAAATCTAAATGGAGTCGTGTGGCATGCTGTCACTACAATTTGTCGTTTGTGAAGACAATGATGGCATAGGAAGATAATGGTATCCATTGCTAAATGGAAAATTTCAGCTATACCCTTCTAATTTATCATATTTTTAAGGATACCTCATCTATTTTTTGAATTTTCACTAACACCTCTATCAAATTAAAAATGTTAAGTAGAATGCAATTTTACTAAACTATCCAAGATATATTTTAGAAAAAACTTCATCAACACCCCTCTAGATAGGCATATCCTCAATAAGACCTCTTATATTTTTTAAATTTTTTTACATATTAAAATTCAGATAGATTAAAACTCAATTCGAATTAATTAAAATTTATTTTTTACGTCATAAAATTTAAGTCGATTAAAAATTATATTTTTTTACGTATTAAAATTTGAGCCGATTAAAATTCTATTTAGCCGATTAAATTTTTTTTAATTTGCTCGAATCAAGTTTTAATCAACTCCCACTGAATTTTAATCGGTCTGAATTTTGATACCTAAAAAAATATAAATTTTAATCGACTTAAATTTTAATACATAAAAAGTGAATTTTAATCAACTTGAATCGAATTTTAATTGACACAAATTTTAATAAAAAAATATAATTTTTAATCGACTCAAGCAAATTTTAATCGGCTCTAATAGCTCAAGTAGGTTCAAATTGACTTGAATTTTAATACGTAAAAAAAATTTATTAGGCTCAAATTTTAATACTTTTAAAAAAATAAAATTTAATCAGCTTGAATCGAATTTTAATCGGATCAAATTTTAATATGTAAAAAAAATGAATTTTAATCATCTCATATTTTAATATGTAGAAAAATGAATTTTAATTGGCTTAAATTTTAATCTAATTTTATGTAGAAATATTGTTTGGGATTTATGTAGGGATAATTTTTAAATTTTGGATATTTGTTTTTGTTAGAAATGGTGGTTTAACGGCAATGAATGTCAGTAATGTTTAAATATAACTTAGAAGGGGGTGTCGTTTATGTTTTGAATAATAGAGGTGTCCTTGAAAATATGATAATTTAGAAAGGGGTGTGACTAAATTTTTCGCTTCCTAAATTTATAATTTTGAGTACAAGTTATATTATTTTGAAATTAGGGCTGATAATCGACCCCAGCTCGGGTCGAGTTTGTTGTAAAAAATAATTCAAACTTAGCTCATTTATAAAATGAGTCGAGCCCAGAACGAGCCGAACTTGAGCCGATCCTGAGTAATTCAGTTATTTTACATATAAACGAGCCGAGTTTTTTAGGCTCATTTTTAAAACGATTCTAAAAAATTGTTCGAACTTTTAAACGAATCGAGCTTGAATCGAGTCTTATNAGTTATTTTACATATAAACGAGCCGAGTTTTTTAGGCTCATTTTTAAAACGATTCTAAAAAATTGTTCGAACTTTTAAACGAATCGAACTTGAATCGAGTCTTATTCGAACTAAATCCGAGTAGTTATAAACACTATTTGAGATATAAGTTATAATTGAAAAAATAATAAAAATTATAATTTTTACAGATAAAGTTATTATTTTTTGAGACCAAGTTATACATTTTAAATGTGAAATTATAACCGTTTACATTAACTTCATGACCATAACACAGTTGTAATTTATTTTTAAAAAGTGTGACTTAACCTCATGTCAAAAAAAAATTAGTAGCATAGAATTACTCATGATGAAAAATTACACTTAATAGGATTGAGAAGTTTATTGCACCTTAAAAAAAATCAATACCGTACAATCAATATAAATTTTGTGAGTTTTTTTATAAATTTGTATGGTCATTTTACAAGCTTTGTAGTAATTTAGCATAAAAAAGTTATGATTTAAACTTAAAAATTGTGACTTGACCCCATTTTTTTTTTTTTTTTGTAAACAAACTTCAAAACTTGTATGAAAATTTCAAACAATTGTAAAATTTTGAGATACAATACCAAATTTTTTGTCGTAGTACTGTAGTCTTGTCCTAGTAGAATTCACATTCGACGCATAAAAATGCCATATCCAAGGACTTTGCCACTCGGATGAACCCTCTTAGGTCCTACACTAACAAGTTAATGTGCTATTGTCTGAAAACTATAGCGGTACTATTTCCTTGATGGTTGAATCGGCCACTATAATTCGAGTTAATTTAAGAGCATATTGAGGAACAAGAGTGTCTAACCCTTAAGGAATGTGTGAAGTATCAAATCTAAGATCTCTTATTTAAAGAGTAGGCAAAACATTGAACCACTCTTAAGAATTTTGTAACGCCCCCAAAGNCACTATTTCCTTGATGGTTGAATCGGCCACTATAATTCGAGTTAGTTTAAGGGCATATTGAGGAACAAGAGTGTCTAACCCTTAAGGAATGTGTGAAGTATCAAATCTAAGATCTCTTATTTAAAGAGTAGGCAAAACATTGAATCACTCTTAAGAATTTTGTAACGCCCCCAAAGCCCCCTTGGACGGCATCACAATCTAAAATTATTCGCATCATGAGAGCAACTAATAAAATCCATAAATAAAAATAATTTCATTCATCATCCATAATGTATATAACATCATTCCNTCACTCTTAAGAATTTTGTAACGCCCCCAAAGCCCCCTTGGACGGCATCACAATCTAAAACTATTCGCATCATGAGAGCAACTAATAAAATCCATAAATAAAAATAATTTCATTCATCATCCATAATGTATATAACATCATTCCAAAAGAATATGTCAAACCATAACCATTACATCCCGAAAGAATTAGTTATTATCTCACAGTGGAATAACAAAATATGGTAGCCTTTACATTGTCTCAAGATAAATTCTCTAGTCTAGAACCTAGGACCAAAGAGAATATAATCATAGACATCCATCTTGGGATCCACGTTCTCATCTATTGGAGCTTCCCAATGTGCCTGTTCATCTACTGCGANTGGAATAACAAAATATGGTAGCCTTTACATTGTCTCAAGATAAATTCTCTAGTCTAGAACCTAGGACAAAAGAGAATATAATCATAGGCATCCATCTTGGGATCCACGTTCTCATCTATTGGAGCTTCCCAATGTGCCTGTTCATCTACTGCGAGCTCCTCCTTTAGCACATAATCTAAATAATATGTTGTTTGTAGGGGGTGAGCACTAAGCTCTGTAGCAACATCCTCCCAAACTCAAACAAGGTTTAGAAAACATATAAAACAATTCAGTCTCACTTTACAAAATAACATGCATAATTTTGAAAGAAAATAAGGACATTGCAATGGATCTCAACTTTAAGCAAGAGCAATAATTTAAATGAAAGGAATAAACATGTTGGAGTGATAAAAATCAAACAATCATTCAACAACGTAATCCCATATTCTCAGGTATGTTGGTTGCTTCCCATGAATCTACACCACGATTTTACCTCGTNTCATGCATAATTTTGAAAGAAAATAAGGACATTGCAATGGATCTCAACTTTAAGTAAGAGCAATAATTTAAATGAAAGGAATAAACATGTTGGAGTGATAAAAATCAAACAATCATTCAACAACATAATCTCATATTCTCAGGTATGTTGGTTGCTTCCCATGAATCTACACCACGATTTTACCTCGTTCACCCACCATAATCACACAATCCCAAACATTTTAGGAAAGGCATATACTATCTCTCACGGCATTGACAAATCCTTCCCAAGAAAGGTATATCATCCCTCAGTCTCGAACTTACGTGAACAATAGTGGTTGCTCTCACAAACAACAAACCACTACAAGTGTTAGGAAATCATCTCACCTCCACTGGAATAGACTAACCTCTAACACTCTACGGCAGTGCTCGAATGCAATTCAAGTTCATCACAACAACCATACAAGAAATGCAATAACNAAACTTACGTGAAGAATAGTGGTTGCTCTCACAAACAACAAACCACTACAAGTGTTAGGAAATCATCTCACCTCCACTGGAATAGACTAACCTCTAACACTCTACGGCAGTGCTCGAATGCAATTCAAGTTCATCACAACAACCATACAAGAAATGCAATAACAAACATTTTCTCAAATCACAAGAAAATTCAAAATCCCCAAATTTTATAATTTGTATTACAAGAGAACAATTTAAGAAAATAAGCAAGATATCATCAACAATCTANCCCCAAATTTTATAATTTGTATTACAAGAGAACAATTTAAGAAAATAAGCAAGAAATCATCAACAATCTATTTTTATTTTTCATTACAAAGCACTAAAGTTTTGAAATCAAGAACAAGAGAAAAATCAATAGAAAAATCCCTTTCTCTTGAAAACTAGGGTTTTATGATAAGAAAAGAATTTTTGTGGTTCTCTAACCCTAGCTTTATTTAAAACATGGTAATCTTTACAAAAATAACAAGAGTGAAAACATACATATACANTATTTTTATTTTTCATTACAAAGCACTAAAGTTTTGAAATCAAGAACAAGAGAAAAATCCCTTTCTCTTGAAAACTAGGGTTTTATGATA